AAACTATCATGAAATTGTTTAGTATCCTCTAATATTCTCTCCAAGTACGCAATTCTTTCTTCTTTTGTTCCGATTTCCAAATTTCGAGGTGTATCTTCGAATATGACATCACTCCATTCACTATTCAACCATTCCTTCGAATTAAAATAATCCACATAAAAATCTTTACCAGTCAATGGATTTTTAAAAGCGTTATATTTTATAGGTAACAACTGAAATGCTGTTCTAAAAGTAAATATAGTCGTTGGATCCTGTAGTCTTTTATTAAACAGCACTGGACTTCCGAATTTAAGTTCGTGGAATATACCGGGAGCGCCACCAAACGGTGTTCCGGCAAATATTACTCCTGCAATTAAGTGTGGTGCACGGTGTAATACTGATAAGGCGATTAAACCACCATTTGAATGAGCAAATATATAAATGGGTTTTTCTCCATTTGTTGAATAGATTTGTTTTAGATATTCTAGAAATATATCTGAAGTTGCTAATAGGATAGTTCAAAATAAAAGGTTAACTTTTAAATATAGGATCAAATGTGACAAATTTTGACTATTACGGTGATTGTTATCCCTTTATTAAGTGATTAACTCATACTTTGTAATTACCTTGATTACTACGTCTCCAATCATAACTAAATTTATGAAATCTAAAGGGTGTTGATGAATTTTTTTGAGAAGACAAGGCATCCATGTGTTGTATTAAAGAATCGTAAAATTTATAAAATGCGATCTTTTGAAATATTCCGTGAGGAATCAATTGATCCGGTTCATGTTTAGTGATATGTAATGGGAGATCAAGATTTCCTTTGCTATGAGATGAAAAAGGAATTTGTAAATTTAGCCAACTTGTAGTTTTGGTTTTCGGATTGTATAATTTTGAACCACGGTATCCCGGAATTAATACGATATCAGAGTGTAAATGCTCAAAGCCAGGAATTTGTGGTGGTGTCTTTTTTCGAATTGTCATGTTAAATAAAGTGCGAAATTTTTTAGATTTTTTTTAAGACAGATCATTCGAACATATACGTAGCATTTATATAAATGCTAACGTTTAGAAATATGCAATACTAATAATCATATGCATGCAGTATCAGAATATGAAACATTACTGTATTAAGTTTTAAAACTAATAACGATTTAGCGATAATATGAATGTTGATTACTAAAAAATTTGTGTTATTACAATATATACGTACGTAGGATTAAAATTATTTCCAGTAACGGTAACAAATAATCCAAATTTACAATATCGATATTATATCATTATCCAAACCTAATTACGTTCCGGGACCAGATTTATTAACGTTTGATTTACAGTTGATCTAATAATCTAGACAAACTAAAAATTTATTCATATTCCTGATATCTTTCTATGAATTATATAATAACTCTTCGGTGATTACATCTCTGTTTCCGGACCGAAGTTTCGAAGATAATAACGTATTTTTCGAATACGAGGTCTAAGATATTTATTGGAAATATTATAATCAAAAAATTTTCTAATTACAGTATATAAAATAAGGATATTTTTAATTTGTGTCAGTGGTTAAAGTTAACCGATGCTATATAAAATCATAAATATCTCAAAATTTTATTATGAGACACTTGATATTTTCTTTTGAGTGTTTTAATTATAGATCAAATAACTTGATGTACTTCAATTTCATATATAAATTTATGAAAAAAATTTATTTAATCTTGATTTACTTAAAAAAATAAAAAAGAAA